ATCTCTAAGCTGGTATGGACTGCCCCTTTAAATGCACAGAATAGGCCCCCTGCAGGCATTTTACATAATAATTCCTCCTGGGGTTGTCATGTAGCAAACCTCTGGCATAAATTACTTTTACCACCCCCCCCCCCCTTTTCCCAAATTGCACTTGAGCATAGAATGTTCAGGCATAATTTTTAAAAATTTTTTTTTAAATAGTGTGTTTTTAGAAGCGATGTACAGTAAAAGTGCTTTCTTAGTGCTGTCAATTTACACAACGCTTTATTTATTTCAGGTACTTATATAGCGCCGTCAATTTAAGCAGCGCTTTACATATGTATTGTACATTCATATCAGTCCCTAACCCTCAAGGGGCGTACAATCTAAGGTCCCTAACTTACATTCATACATACACATACTAGGGACAATTTAGACAGGATCCAATTAACCTACCAGCATGTCTTTAGAGGTGGGAGGAAACCGGAGTACCCGGAGGAAACCCACGCAGTCACAGGGAGAACATGCAAACTCCAGGTTGGTGGTGCCGGAGTTGGGATTTTTACATATATATTGTACATTCACATCAGTCCCTAACCCTCAAGGGGTGTACAATCTAAGGTCCCTAACTCACATTCATATATACACATACTAGGGCAGCAACTTTAGACAGGGAGCCAGTTAACCTACCAGCATGTCTTTGGAGTGTGGGAGGAAACTGGAGTACCCGGAGGAAAACCCACGCAGGTACAGGGAGAACATGCAAACTTCTGTGCACTCCAAAGACCTGCTGGTAGGTTAGGATTGTGCATTTTCGACTCCATAGACTTATTATGGGGGTGCCTAAAAAACACACATAATGCTTTCCGTGCATTTTTTATTTTTTTTGCATGCTCCCATTAAAGTCTGTGGGGCCAAAAATGGATTGATTCTGCCTCAGACAAAGCTCATGTACTTTTCCAAGTGACAGGCTTTGAGCTACTGATGTGAATAGGCGCAATTTAGAACAGTGGGATTTTTTTTTTATGTTAAGCGCTATCGCACGTAGAGAAACGTGACATAACACACTGGCGTGAATGGGGTGTATTCCCCTTTTGCAGTCAAATTTCAGAACCCCCCCCCCCACTACTATATGTTGTGTATTCCCATTCACACAACATGCCAGAAAATTTAAAAAAAAGTATTTGTGTGTTCCTATTCACACAGCATATATGAAAATAATTAAAATATGTTTGTGTTCCTGTTTACTTACACAACATACCCAAAATAATTTAGGAATATTTATGTCTTCCTATTCACACAGCATACCTAAAAATAATCTTTGAATATTTATGTCCTCCTATTCACACAGCATACCTAAAAATAATCTTTGAATATTTATGTCTTCCTATTCACACAGCATACCTAAAAATAATCTTTGAATATTTATGTCTTCCTATTCACACAGCATACCTAAAAATAATCTTTGATTATTATTAATATTATACAGTATTTATAAAGCGCCAATAGTTCGCTCAGCGCTGTACATTACATATTTATGTCTTCCTATTTACACAGCATACGCAAAAATAATTTAAAAAAATGTTTGCATTCCTATTCACACAGCATACCTAAAAATATTGCTAAAAATATATTTATCTGTTCCAATTCACAGAGCACACCTTAAAATATGTTTAAAAATATATTTGTGTTCCTATTCACACAGCATACCTAAAAATAATTTAAAAAAATGTTTGCATTCCTATTCACACAGCATACCTAAAAAATAATTGTAAATATATTTATCAGTTCCAATTCACAAAGCACACCTAAAAATTATTTTAAAATATATGTGTGTTCCTACTCTCACAGCATACCTAAAATAATTGTAAACATATTTATGAGTTCCTATTCACAGAGCATACCTAAAATTAATTTTAAGGCTCCATGCAAACTAGCTTTTTTTATAAGCTCAAAAAACGCTAGGGAAAAAAACCTGGATGAAGAACACGCTTTTGTGCCAGCTTTTAGTAGCGTTTTAGAAGCGCTTAGAAGTGTTTAGTAGTGGTAGTGTTTTATTAGCATTTTTACAGTACATGTAGAACAAGAAAAAAAGCTGTTAGGAGCATTTAAGCGTTTAATGTTTTTTTTTTTTTTGCCAGAAAAAAGGCTCCCAGAAACTCTACAGAAAATATTTTTTTCTGCTCCTAAATGCTGAAGCTTGAAAAACACTACTAGCCTAAAATAGTGCGCATGGACACAAGGATAATGCAGGCCATAGACGGGTCGTTTATCGGCCGAATTTTTGTCCGCATGAAAAATCGGCCAATATTCACACCGTTAGTGGGGCCAGCCCGTCGGCCATTTTCACAGATCTTCTCGTTTATTTTTATTGGTCATGCTGGAAAATCCACAAAAAAAAAAACGTCTGTTTTTCGTGGACATTGGTGGCAGCAACGGCAACAAACCGATTTTTTCATTTATCGGCTGACAAATCGACCAATTTTTTGTTTATCAGCCGACAATTTGGCCGATAAACGGCCCGTCTATGGCCTGCATGACACTAGCTTCTAGGAGCAGAAAAAAGGCTAGTGTGCATGGAGCCTAAAATATATATATATGTTCTTATTCACACAGCAGACCTACAAATACATTTCACAAATGTTAATATTCACACAGCATGCCTAAAAATAATTTTTAAAAAGTCAATGTAAAATGTCAATGTACAGTATTGAAAGAGCTGCATAAATTGTCAGCGCTATACTATAATTATTTATTCTAATAAAAATAGAACAGGATTATAATGAGAACTTCATAGGCAGCTTGTATCTAGAATAGCTTGCATGGTAATTAGGGGATAGACTGAGAGACTTTTTTTTTTTCTCACATAAAATGTAACACCCAAGCCTGAGATCTTTAACTTGTTAGGACAGACAGTGCACACATCTAGTTTACATTTGATGAGATCTACAGGCACAGTACAGACAGGATTATGCAGGCCATAGACAGGTCGAAAACCGGCAGTTTTAAAAAAAAAAACGAAAAATCGGTCGTTCAATAGGCTGACATTACCACCAATGGTAAAAAAAAATTGGCCGATTTTCATCCTGTCTACGGCTGGCATTTAATTACTTCTGTCCCTGCAGAGAGCTCCACTATTATATTTGACATTAAAAAGTATTGCGGTTGCAACATTGTATCCATTTCGGATACAGATTTTTTATTCGGATACAAATAGATACATTGTTGCAACCGCAATACTTTTTCATGTCAAATATAATAGCGGACTGGAATTCTTCTTTTTCTTTTCTTCTTTTCTTCTTTTTCTTTTCTTCTTTCTTGTTCGTTTTTTTTTTTTTCTTCTTCTTTTTCTTCTTTTCTTTTTCTTCTTCTTCTTCTTCTTGCAGGACATGGCTCATGCGCAGATTTTTTTATTGGTAAAAAGATCGGCCAATTTGCCCATCATTGCTGGCAAAATCGGCCGATTTTTTTCCAACTTCACCAATAAAAAAAAGTGCCAAAACCCCGAAAAATGACCGACCAATTAACCTATTAACGGTGCGAAAATTGTCCGATCTTTTTTTTTTTCAGCCGAAAAATCGGCCGATTTTCGACCCGTCTATGGCCTGCAATAATTACAGTAAACATAACTTGCCAGCCCCTTCCTAACATAACCTAGAAGGGGAAAGCTAAATAGCATTTTTTAAGCAAGTATAAAGGTAAGCAGCAATTTGTGTGTGTGTGTGTATGTGTGTATATATATATATATATTTTTTTTTTTTTGGTGTGTAACTAGTGTAGGTGTTCTCCCAGTTGGCTGCAAAAGTGGCAAAAAAACACTTTATATGCATGCCATCTAAACTGAGTGGAAGAAAAAATAATATACTTTTTGCAGTAATATTGGGAATACCCCCACTATATCTTTGTGTTCTCATTCACACAGCACATCTTAAAAAAAAAAAAAAATCAATGAAAAAAATGTTTTCGTTTCTTTCCATCAGGATTATACGTTGGATTCTCTTAGCGGCTTCTCTTTTGAATAGGTTGCAATCTGCAATTAGGGAACAGGCTATTGGATAGTTTTTTGTAAAGTACTACTAAAACACACAGCAGTAAAATCAGTCTGTATATGTAGGAAAACAAGCTTGTTATACTCACTGTGGAATTTAAGGGGTTAAATCTCCACATTGTGTAAAAAAAGGCTGTTTGATCCTGTCTTCTGTGATCCTCCACTTCTACAGTTCCCAATCCATTTGTTGAGAGTATGGTGTTCTAGGAGTCACCCTGCACATGCTCAGTTCCTTCATTTTAAAGTAGTATTAAACAGTTACAGCAACATTGCTTCATCCTGATCAACACATTTAAAGTGTTACTAAACCCACAACAGTAAAATAAGTCTGTATATGCAGTAAAGTATGCTTGTTGTATAGCAAGCATGCTTTACTGCATATACAGACTGATTTTACTGTTGTGGGTTTAGCAACACTTTAAATGTGTTGATCAGGATGCAGCAATGAGTATTCACTGTGGAACCTAAATGGTTAATCCTCCACATTGTGCAAAAAGGCTGTTTTGATCCTGTCTTCTCTGATTATCCCCTTCTACTGTCCCCAATCCATCTGGTAATACTACAAAGCTCTGGGAGTCACCCTGCACATGCTCAGTTTGGTGTGTATGGCTAGAGAGGGTTTTTTTTTCCCCTTTGGAAAGGTGCATGTGATCATCACAGGGCCAATCAGCACTGTCCAGACAGAGGGTCAGGGGTTATGAAGCCTCATAGGACAGTCACAGCAGAATGAAAACTCCTCCTACAAGCATTAACCAGTGCCCTGCTGGACACTTATAAAAGTAACAAGACTGCTATATACTGCTGATGAGAAAAGGTATTAAGCAGGTTTATATTTGCTAAAATAATTGCATTTCTATGTTCTGTGTAATGTGGGAGATCAGATATAGTGAATGTGGGGTCCGGGGAGACCGGATATAGTGAATGCAGGGTCCGGGGAGACCAGATATAGTAAATACAGTAAATACAGGGTCCGGGGAGACCGGATATAGTGAATGCAGGGTCCGGGGAGACCGGATATAGTGAATGCAGGGTCCGGGGAGACCGGATATAGTGAATGCAGGATCCGGGGAGACCAGATATAGTGAATGCGGGGTCCGGGGAGACCAGATATAGTGAATGTAGGGTCGGGGAGACCGGATATAGTGAATGCCGGGTCCGGGGAGACCGGATATAGTGAATGCAGGGTCCGGGGAGACCGGATATAGTGAATGCCGGGTCCGGGGAGACCGGATATAGTGAATGCAGGGTCCGGGGAGACCAGATATAGTGAATGCAGGGCCCAGGGAGACCGGATATAGTGAATGCAGGGCCCGGGGAGACCCGGGGAGACCGGATATAGTGAATGCAGGGCCCAGGGAGACCGGATATAGTGAATGCAGGGTCCGGGGAGACCGGATATAGTGAATGCCGGGTCCGGGGAGACCGGATATAGTGAATGCAGGGTCCGGGGAGACCAGATATAGTGAATGCAGGGCCCAGGGAGACCGGATATAGTGAATGCAGGGCCCAGGGAGACCGGATATAGTGAATGCCGGGTCCGGGGAGACCGGATATAGTGAATGCACAGTCCTGGGTGTAGTAACACTTTAAGTGCATTAACACACAATGTACCATCCAAGCCTTGAGATCTCTAACCATTTATTTTGCTCAGATACTGTGCACAACTGATGAGACACAGTACACACAGGACTAATTACGGTTAACAACTCCCCAGCCCCCTTCTTCACATGACATAGCAGGGGAGAGCTAGATAGGATTTATAAGCGAGTAGAAAGCTAAGTAGCAATTTTAAATGATTTCTTTTTAAGTTATGCTATGTGGATGGTAACATATGGCAAATAAAATGTAGTTGTTATCTCAGTATGGCTGCAAAAGTGGAAATCCACTCTAAGGCTGGCCATAGTCGGGCCGTTTATCGGCCGAAATTACCGAAAAATCGGTAATTGCCGATGCTGCCACCAATGTCCGTTTTTCGTGGATTTTCCAGCATGACCGATAAAATTAAACGAGAAGATTCGTGAAAAAACGGCCGAAGGGCTGGCCCCACTAACGGCGTGAATATCAGCCGATTTTTCATGCGGATGAAAATTCGGCTGATAAACGACCCGTCTATGGCCTGCATAAGTGCGCACTCTCTGAACTGAGTGGAGGACACAAACATTGTCATTCTTTAAAGCTAGTCCTAGGCTAATATTTAAACACTCAACAGCTTTGTTATGTATGAGGCTTTATAGGAGGATTAAACAGAAAATGTCTGTTTATGTAGTGATAACGGGCACTGAGTAGTATCCTGGCTACACACATAGCAATATGATTGTTTGCTGTAATGATTGTCTTTGTACAAGTACCCACAAGTATATGTCAATGGTTACATGCAGGCGTACATTGGCGCGGTGACTTCTGAGCAGTTCACTGATCGCTGTTTTACCGTGAAAGGAGTTTGAGGTCTATTTACACAAGATTTACAACCTCGTGGACACTTGTCACTTGTAATAAATATGCTAAGCACAATGCACTCCTACAGAGCTTGCTTACATGCACTCCAGAGGAACAGCTATTTTTCCCGTGATCTACATATACTTATCAGCACAAACTAGAACATGCATAATCTAAGGCCTAATGTATGGCCAACATGGTCACCCTTCCTACAAATTCATTGTTGCTTAACCCTAGGCTCAAACATATGCGGGTTGGGGAAGCACACGTTTCCTGACCCGCAGGCAAAATTATTATTATACAGGATTTATATAGCGCCAACAGTTTGCTCAGCGCTGTACATTATAATGGGAGACAGTACACGAGACAGTACAGTAACAATACAATACACGAGGGGTTCGAGGGCCCTGCTCCTTGGAGCTTACAATCTAGGAGGGAGGGGATAGTGGTACAGGAGGAAATAGCTATGGGGGACGGAGTGGTAGGAAGAGTGGAGGGGTTCAGTAATTAGCTGAGGGTGGGGTAGGCTTCCCTGAAGAGATAGGTTTTCAGAGTGCGCCTAAACTTGAGGCGAGTAGGTGACAGTCAGATGGATTGGGGTAGGGAGTTCCAGAGAATGGGGGAAGCCCTGGAGAAGTCCTGGAGACAGGCATGGGAGGAGGAGACCAGGGAACTAGAGTGTAGGAGGTCTTGTGAGGAGCGGAGAGTACGTTTTGGGTGGTATTTGGATATCAGGTCGGTGATGTAGTTTGGGGCAATGTTATGAACAGCTTTGTACGTCAATGTTAGCATTTTGAATTTTATCCATTGGGCAATCGGAATCCAGTGGAGGGATTGGCAGAGGGGGGTGGCGGATATGGAGCAGTGAGTAAGGTGGATGAGTCTGGCCGCAGCATTCAAGATAGACTGAAGTGGGGATAGCCTGCGGTGGGGTAAGCCGATGAGGAGGGAGTTACAGTAGTCGAGGCGTAATATAATGATGTAGTAAATGAGTTGCTTAGTGGTTTCCGGGGTTAGGAATGGTCGTATTTTGGAGATGTTGCGGAGGTGAAGTCTACATGAGTTTGTCAGCAAATGGACTTGGGGCTGGAAGGACAGATTGGAGTCTAGAATGACAGCAAGTACTCTGGCTTGAGGGGAGGGACTGATGATGGTGTATTGCATTTTTGGGTGTGCAGAATTGCATGGTGCCGCAACACCATGCCGTTCTGTCCGGCTGCAGTTTTTAAAAAAAAAAGGCTGCTGTGCTCACTCAACACAGAACCCGCAATGATGAGAACCTAGACTTAAACACAGTTCTATATTTTTCCAAGGCGAAACATTTGTTGGTGCATACTGCTCTAAACTGGTCTTGGGCATTCACCCCTGGGGTGAATACTGCCCTAAGTGTATATACTAATTTCTTCACCATACAGCCCCATGCAGCTTCAGCAGCTGCCAGGCTCTCATAGAAAAGCGAGGTTGGTCCTGACCAAAACCAAAAATTCATTTGAATTTGTGCAATTTAGTGTTTTTCTTGTTTATTTTATACTACATGTATGGCAATAAATTCTCTGTGAGATTTGGTTAGACGAATCGTGGGTTGCGGTCTGAATTTGTGACTTAATAAACAAACAGATCTTATTGTGTGTACAGACAGACTAGTCGGCTTCAGTAGACCACTATCTGCAGCATGTTTTCTCAACATTCTTACCTTGGCGGAACCCTTGAAATCATTATCAGATCCCCTGGAGAACCCCTGCTAAAAATTATCAGTATTACAGCTCATGGTACGTAACATTGGTGGTTAGTTTTAAATTGCCTCCTTTCAGTGGTGGTCAATAGTAAGTGGAAGATCTATTCACCATTTTTCTGCTCAAGGAACCCATAGCATCTTCAAGAGAAGCCCTAAGTTTCCACAGAAACTTGGTTCAAAAAAGCTGGTCTACATTATTAGCAGTGTTCCCATCAATGTAGAAGGTCCGTTCTCCAGTTCTGATGTGTTTAGGAATTCTTGTGAATGAAATCTGTGTTTGCTGGATCTTGGGCATGCAACTTCTGTTAAATGTCTTGAAACCTGAATGTTTAGTTTTGAAACTGGTGGTGGTGCAGGCAAACCAGTCAGCTAAGCCTTTCCTTCAAAAAATCTTCCCTCAAAAATAGGATGGTGGATAGTGGGATGAAGGATATAAAAGGAGGGATGGTGAGATGAAGGATGTTGAATAATGGGAACAAGGATGCTTGAATGGTGGCATGAAGGATGTTTGAATGGTGGCATGAAGGATGTTGAATGGTGGCAGGAAGGATGTTGAATGGTGGCAGGAAGGATGTTGAATGGTGTCAGGAAGGATGTTGAATGGTGGCAGGAAGGATGTTGAATGGTGGCAGGAAGGATGTTGAATGGTGGCACGAAGGATGTTGAATGATGGCACGAAGGATGTAAAAGGATGGATGAAGGATGTTGAATAATGGGAACAAGGATGCTTGAATGGTGGCACGAAGGATGCTTGAATGGTGGCAGGAAGGATGCTTGAATGGTGGCACGAAGGATGCTTGAATGGTGGCACGAAGGATGCTTGAATGGTGGCACGAAGGATGCTTGAATGGTGGCATGAAGGATGCTTGAATGGTGGCACGAAGGAAGCTTGAATGGTGGCACGAAGGAAGCTTGAATGGTGGCATGAAGGATGTTGAATGGCGGGGTGAAGGATGTTGAATGGCGGGATGAAGGATGTTGAATGGCGGGATGAAGGTTATAAGATGATGGATGGTGGGATGAAGAATGTTGAATAATGGGAAGAAGGATGTTTGTATTGAACTGTATTGTCTCCCTTTATATAGTAAAGCGCTGAGCAAACTGTATAATAATATACTTACAAAGGAAAAAAATGTAAATAAGCTCATTATAAAGAACAGCACTGTCCAGTCCGCATGGCATGGCTATCCATATAGGAGCACTGGATTTCCAACAGGCTAACGTTTCGAGGACTTGCCTCTTCCTCAGAGCCCTGAAGAAGGACTGGGCAGTGCTGTCCTTTATGATGAGCTTATTTACATTTGTCCTTTGTGAGTATATCGCCTATCATTTTTTATCACAAAATGTTAATTAAGGTCATGAACTATCCCGGTGCACCCTCTATTTCTTTTCTTTGTATCCAGTGTTTGGACTCTCCTTTGAGGGCAGCAAGGCGTGCACCATCCAGGATCTCCACAATGGATCTATAACTGTATCGAGTTCACCCCCAAGTGCAGGAGTTTTTGCGTGAATTACTTTGGATGCACGGGAACGCATTACGCGTGCTTTTTTAGGAACCCCCATAATAAAAGTCTATGGAGTCAAAAAAGCACAATCCTAACCTACCAGCAGGTCTTTGGAGTGCATAGGAGTTGTATGTTCTCTCTGTGCCTGCGTAGGTTTTGTCCGGGTACTCCGGTTTCCTCCCACACTCCAAAGACATGCTGGTAGGTTAACTGGCTCCTGTCTAAAGTTGCCCCCCTAGTATGTGTATGTATGAATGTGAGTTAGGGACCTTAGACTGTTACGCCTCTTGATGTGGGTCAGGGACTGATGTGAATGTACAATATATATGTAAAGCGCTGTGTAAATTGACGGTGCTATATAAGTACGTGAAATAAATAAAACACAAACTGATCTCAAAAGTCCATATGTATTAAGCCTAGTACACATGTTGAGAATATCGGACAAATGAATGGTTTCGAATACCAGCCACGGCACCACCTGCCTGGAGTTTGCATGTTCTTCCTGTGCCTGCGTGGGTTTCCTCCGGGTACTCCGGTTTCCCCCAACACTCCAAAGACATGCTGGTAGGTTAACTGGCTCCTGTCTAAATTGTCCCTAGTATGTGTATGTAAGGGACCTTAGATTGTACGCCTCTTGAGGGTTAGGGACTGATGTGAATGTATATGTAAAGTGCTGCGTAAATTGACAGTGCTATATAAGTACCTATAATAAATAAATAAATGATCGTCCTTTTTTTTTTTTTTTTTTTCATTTAAATGCTAGTCTGATATTAAAAATGTAGAGGTTACGAA